ATGGACATTATCTGTTGAAAAAGCAAATGTCTTTTTTGATGCTCTTTGGCAGTGTAGAGACTCTCTTTCGGAAGAAGTTTTTTCAGAAGATATCTTTATCTGCTTTATAGACATAGCGTAGGTGTGCGGGTTATACATGCACTCATTTAGCACATCTCTGGAGCAGGGCGCCTGTGGCAACACAACAGAAACTCAAACAGTCTCTAAACAGTAGAAACCCTAAGCCAGGGAAGCATTGGAAATAGCATGTCCTCACTCAGCTTTTCCTTGGTACAGTAGTGTCCTCTCCTCAGTTCTTTGAACCCAGTTCTTTCTCTTCTTCCTGCCTGTTACTCACACGCCTCCAATAGTTGACTTTGTCACCTCATCTTTTCTTTATACAATTGAACATTCAGTCATACAGAGCTCACCATCTGAAACGGCTTCACTGCCCTTGGCTGACTCTCATCAAATCTTACCTTAACATGAATACCAGATCACAAGATCACCATCAGTACGCCTGTCCCTAGTCTTAGGGAAGATGTCTCTGTTTCATGTTACTGAGAGTAATCTGGCAGCAAGGGCAGGGGGACCAGGGTTTGAGGTGTACCTCTCTGGCTATGTTCGAGTTTTTTCCGGAAAAACAGCCGTTTTTCTGAAAAAACTTCACTTACATCCACATTGCAGTTGCGTTCTTTTGAAAGAAAGCTGAAAGAACAGAGGGGTTTTTCCTGACACAGGTAAACCTCTTTCTATGAGGAAGAAGCCATTTTCTGAAAGAGCTCTTTCGGAAAAAGGCGTGTGTGGACAGGGAAGAGGGAGTTCTTTCAAAAAGAGAGGAAAGAGGAAATAGCACAGGTGTCCTGGTGGCCACTCTGTCCATAGTAATCACAATTTAAACGCCAGATATAGCATCCATGCTGAATAGACACTATTTCGAAAAAGCAGATCACTTTTTCGATGTGTTTTTGGCTTCTCTTTCAGAAGTCTTTTTTTGGAAGATCTCTTCCAGAAAAGCTTCTTCTGAAAGAAGCCTGCAGTCTAGATGTAGCTTCTGTCTCCCTTTACACACACTTCATCCCGCCCCACATCATCCTAAACAGCAATCTTATGAAGCTTTGGGATCAACTCTCTCTTCCAGGGAGTCAGTGAAGTCATCAGAAGTGTTCAACATCTCTCTCTGCAAATACAATTTTTTTAACCTTTCCATTTATTAAAACTGTCAGAACCAACTTACTAAGTCAATTTCTGATGAATCTGGGCCATGCCACCCCTTTCTTCCCATCCTGTCATGCTCACACATGCTACAGAGCCTGCACACGGTCTTGCAACCAGCACCATTTACATATTCTTTATATAGACTATACTCGGCTGCAAAATGTTTTTTGTATGGAAAGCACTAGACAACTATGTAATGCATTATGGGGAGAAGGGGCTTGCCTGTCTTTATTCTGAACAGGATGCTCGTTGCTGTAATTATTCCATAGCTAACACTTTCCAAAAAGAACTCTATGTTCAAACATTCCAGAACTTTTTGAAACTTCTTCTCTTGGGCTCAGAAGTCATCCATCATTTTCAACCCTAAATGCATTGACTTTCAAATGCCTGTCTTAATGCCCAAAGGTAGATCACATAACCACATAATGATTCTTTCAATGGGGTGGCGGCTTTATTCTGAAGTGATGGACCTTATCTTTACCCTAGTCCTTTTTCCTTTGAGGGTGCGAAAATTTTCCTGTTGTGTTCAATCATTGGTGTGAAATACATAGTTTTTCTAATAATCACAATAAGAAACCAAATACATCTTTATTACATTTAGAGGAACTACTCAAAAAAAAAAAAAACCACTCAATATCTATTTTACCTGTCAGCTCTTAAGAGGACATGTTTCTATGTCCAGTGGAGTGAAAAAAAAAAATGAACACTTTACAAGTTGCACCTGTCTCACCTGCATTTAAAAATATAAAATGTTTTGGATTCTGAGGGGAAAAAGAGAACAGATCTTCCCTCAATACCACGTGACCTGGATCACGTGTAAGATGACAAATCAGTATGGTAGGGCCATGGTTTGAGTGCCTGGAAAGTGTTCACAGGAGGCCCCTCTGGGTTTCCAGTTTATCTGCAAGCTTCTTATTCAATCAAAATAACACAAACCAGCAACGTCTCTGCCCACATTTGCGTGGCGCTATTTGGTAGCCTGTAAATGCCAATCCAAAACCAAACGAGAGCCTACCCAGGACAGAGCATCTATATCAGAGCTTCTTGGCCTGGATTCTAGTCAGCAAATGGTCTCCTCTTCTCTTTTGATTGTCTTAAGCACATCTGTGTTGAGCTGCAACTGACTTCATCAGCTAAGGAAGACTCCCCTAATTAGAACTAACCCAACCCAAATTAAGCTCCTTGTGTGGCCACTGTCTGGCCTGTGAGGCCCCTTAGAATGAGGTATAGCCTGCAAGAAGGCCACTAGAAGGCTCGGGGATTCTTTTACACCAATAGTCCTCAACTTTAGTTAATAAGCCCCCACACACGCCACCTGCCACCTTCTTTGTGTCTGATGGTTCCTGCCTACAAGCCCAACACTGCCTATAAGCCACCCAACACCGAAGGCAGAATGAAGAGCAGCAGCTGCTGGCTGGTGACCAGCTCTGAAGGCAGCAGCATAGAAGTAAGGTGACAACGTGTAAAGTGATGTTTGTTATAGGAATGTAAAAGAGTAGTCGAGTTGACTACTTGCTTCCCCTTCCCCGCCTGCAGCCTCTGTATCAGGTCCCCTCTGAATCAGAGACAGCAAGACAGGGGCAGAAGGAACAGGAGCCAGTGTTGGGGGGGAGCCAGCTTAAAAGCTGATTCCCCCAGTGCCACCTGCCCACCCTCGCTGCTTCCTCTATCAGAGGAGGCAGGAGAGGCTGTTGCAAAGCACCCCCCTGTCTGCGGAGGTGTCCCAGTGGGGAACTGGGCCCCGCCCCGTGGACAGAGGCTACTGCTGCAAAACAGCCCCTGTCCATGGCAGCCCTGGCCCACAGCCAGCCCAGGCATCACAAAGAGGGTTTGCTGCCAGAGCAGCCTTTGTTTGCGGTGGCTGGAGCTGGCCCTGGAGAGGGGCTGCTGGATGCGGCACGAGCCAGGACTGAGCGAGCCCAGCTCAGTCTGTGCTCGCACCAGTCCAGGACCGCTGCAGCTCTGCATTTTAAATGTAGAGAGAGCTGCTCAGCTCTTACTACATTTAAAATGCACAGCCGCAGTGGTCCTGGCTCTGTAGGACCTCCCTGTTCTGCAGTTTAAATGTAGTAGGAGCCAGGCTGCCTGCACACCCGGCTCCTACTACATTTAAACTGCAAAATCTCATCGACTAATTGCGTTAATACAAATTGTATTGACTACACAATTAGTCAATGACCCACCTCCTCTTCTTCTTTCACATTGTCATGTTCAACGCTGTATTTCTTCATCAAAGTTGGACGTCCATACTCTTAACCCGCCTCTTAACAGCCTTATTTGTTATCCCTTTTCACAGTCAATTTAGCATTTATTGCCACTTTTCCTTCTGTATTCTGTATAGTGCAGCTCTAACTTGTTCCGGTCTCCTGGGAATGCCTTGCACAAAAGCCCTCACCCATCAAGGCTAACATCTAGAGCTCTTCAGAAAAAATGTAAAAGACATCATTTGTGACTTCCAGCATATTCCCAGACCTCCCGTAGGAGGCACACCCCATAGTTGGAGAACCACTGGTCTACACTGAAACAGTGGTAAGAGGGTATATAGTGAACTTTCCCTTAGAGTCTACATGTGCTAAACTGGTACCTCAGTGATGTTTGTTTATCCTGCACTCTTGGTCTTCCAAGGTCATACCTCTCCATGCTTGTTAAAACTATCTGATCTTCTTGGGTCTGCAGCATTGGGCTGAATATATTCCAAGAAAACCCTTTTGAACAATATTTCTTGTAGTCTGCTTTGGGTTGGTCCTAACATTCTGAGTGAACAGACTGCCCAGCTGCATTTCTACCTTAGGTGCCAGCAGGACAGGAAGTGCACAAGCATGAAAAAATAGTGATTAAAAAATATGCACAATAACCAACTAAAGGATTCCACATTGTTTTACAAGCTGATTTATATAGGAATCACATTATTAATCTTCGAAATGCTGCCCCCGCTGGCATCAAACACCACAATTATATAACAACAATGCTACGTGAATCTCAATATTGGGGTTAACGCCATTGCTTTTGCAAAAATTGCTATGGCATTGTCAATTACCACAAGTAGACAGGGCCTTGTTTTTATGTTTCATCCTAAAGACAGCACCTTCCAACAATGGAGTGTCATTATCTCGTCTGGCAACACTTAATTAATCCTTAAGAGTCTCCTATCCAAATGCTGATCTTTAATCTGGTTTAAATAGCAAAGAATCTGGTAGCATCTTAAAACCTAATAATTTTATTATGGCATAAGCTTTCATGAGTTGCAATTCAATTAATCAGATGCATGAAATGAAAGAAAAAGAAACAGATTTGGGAGAAAGAGATGGGAATGTTACATCAGAGCTAATTCAATTTGAGTGGATGTGGAAAAGAAGGTGAGGCTATCTAAAGTGGAAAATTACTTATTGTAACGAGAGAGCCACTCCCCATCCCTATTCAGGCCCATTCTGATCCTGCCACACTCCTTGTTTTTGCTGAAACAGACTAACATGGCTGTTGTAACCTGTTGTGAAATCTGACTGGATCCCAGCAGAATGTGATTTCATTGCACCAAGCAGAGCTAATGGAAAAAAGATTATCTGCACAGACTCAAGTTTCTAAAAATGGAGTTACTGTCATTCTGTTTTTGGCAAGGGTTTGACGTAGAGTACTGCATGTTAAGAGTGTCCCTCCAATCACTACATATTTTCTAGTGAATTGTAAAGGACTGGAAAACACAAAGGCATCTTTACGAGTTCTTAAGAGACTGCAGTACATGAGCGGTTTGCCATATTAAACAAACACCTGGGCATTCATTTAAAACCTAAATGCAGGCTGTTTACCTGTGTTGCCAAAGACAACAGAAGCTCCTCTCTGGCTGGCAGTGTGGTATTCATTTAAACAGAGCTCCATCTGCAGGGCCTTTGAAAAGCACAAATAAAAGGAGAGATGAGGAGGTTCAACAATCTAATTCCAATTAAGTGGTCTTCCCTCCCTCATACATTACCTATGGTTTTTAATTAACAGACATTTCTTGAGGAAAGCTGACCCAATTCCCTTTCTTTCAAATCTCTTTTCTCCTCTAAGAGCTGTTGTTTTTGCTGAGTCTCCTAAGCTTGTTTTGCTGGCTTTCACAGGCATTCCAAGCAGTAATGGTCTCATTGACCCAGTAATTAAAGGAATCCTGTACCTTTCCACTCTGGCTAGCTGCCCCCTTTATTCCTCCTCATTGTTCTCTTTGCAACACCACTAGCAGATGGCCAGAGATTTTTCACCCTTTCAAAAGCTTCATGTTTTTCCCATCTCATCAAGCATGTCTCAGCCCTGCTTAATTAGCTTAAGGCTTTTCAGCCCCCATGGGAGATCAGTTAAAGACCTGAGCAATTTCAATAAAGAGCTTGAAAAGCAAATCCTGAAAGGTTAGGCATAGCTGCAAGAAAGCACAATATTATTTGGTGGCACAGACCGTTTGCTCAGACTTCCTTGCTCACTCTTCACCCCGCCTCCTATTTTTAATTTTCAGAATAGTCAAGGAACCTCCTGGGTTTCTGTCTGTGTTTGTGTGTATTTGATAGGTGGCAGTTTTTAACTGAGGATTCTGACCCTCAGGCGAGGTCAGAGTTCAGATGCTTTTAACTGATTTCAATCAAGAGCTGCTGTGTACACCCCCATAGAGTCACTGAAAATCTGCAAACACAATTAGCTAGCCAGGTCTATAAGAAGCTGTTTGGTATTTATTGTTATGATTTGTTATTGAGTTGTTTGAAATTAGCAGTGAGATTTATTTACAGATCAGAGCAGTTGAGATGAAAGCAAAATTAATTAACAGAAAAATAAATTTGCATCCTGCATTGTATTTGACATGGAACAGCCTTTGTTTTTGCATAGTCACATATGTACTTTTATTATTAATCTTAAGTCATGATCATTTTATCTCATTATCTAATTGGGAAAGGGCTTTTTTTAAAAAAAAATATATATTTTTTCTCATACCTCGCACTAGGACGCTGCTTAAATGTGTGAAGCACAGATTTTCTGTGGGATGTCAGCTACACCACAGATGCCTTGTGGACATTTGCCATATAAATTGAATTATGCACTTTGTGCTTAGCTTGTGCAAGCAAGCGAGAAGACCCAAGCGTCAGGTGTTGTGTATCAGTAGAATTAAGTACCTCCTAATTTAGCCACTCTAGAGATAAATATTTGGATATAATTAAAATTACTAGATGTAAATACAAAAAAATCATCTTTTAGATTATAGGAAAATGTGGGATTCTCTCAGTGAAAACTTATAGTTGCTCTAAATTTATACTTTTTTTTTTCCAGAAAGATTTGTGTTTCAGGGTTAGAGTTGACAACTTTCTAATTGCTGAAAGCTGGACACTCTAATCCTGCATTGCACTTTACCCCCCATTCCAGCAGCTGGTGAGTTTGACCAACATGTTACTGATTGAGGGCACTTAGAACAGCATGAGTGAGTTCATAGAATCCTAGAACTGAGGGGACCTCAAGAGTTCATCAAGTCCAGTCCCCTGTGTGTGTTCTTTGCCTTTTGGGGAAAAAATTTCTTATACTTGATCCTTTCTACAATAAAGTTTTCCAACAAAAAATCATATAGAGTGTACCTTAAATGTTTCACCCATTCCATAGGCAGGCTTTCTCCACATACCTTGTTAGGGACTTTTTTTTTAAAGAGGAAAATTGATTTCACACTCAAATGAAGCAAACCTAATGAGCAGATTCAGTGTGATGTTATACAAGTACATGTTGACCTTTATATAATGCACATCTATTTGCAGGGCTTGTCTATATTAGAAAAGTTGTAGTCTTTTCTAAATTAATGTGAAGTCTGTGCAGTTAAATAGTAGATACCCCATAATGTAGAGACGCTTAATCTCATTTAATCCTAGTTTAGCATGTACTAGTAAATTACTAAACAGATTTAAGTGAGAATTAAACAGGTTTAAGTGCATGTACATGGAGTAAGAAGTACCACCACCCCCAATATTCAAAAACAAACTTTTTAAATCTTTGAATAACTTGGTAAACAGCCCCACCTATTTTCTAGTGGTAGAGATGTAGCCGTGTTAGTCTGGGGTAGCTGAAGCAAAATGCAGGACAATGTAGCACTTTAAAGACTAACAAGATGGTTTATTAGATGATGAGCTTTCATGGGCCAGACCCACTTTGCTCCACCTATTTTCTGTGTGTTATTAGATACCAAATGGTACAGGAATGTCAGGAGGTTTTTATCTTGGGATGAGGGCAAATGAGAAGCTCCACGAGCTTAGAAAAGGAAAGTTTCAGTTATACAAAGAAGAATGTGTTGCTAAAACATAATGTGCCAAGATAATGCCAAACAACCCTGGTAGCATCTGCAATTCTGCAATAAAAGGCAGCCACCGTTTTGCCAAGCTGCTAGCTACCTGGCCCATTTTCCATAGTCCTAATCATTTTGTCTCTGTTTTAGAGTCTCTCAGTTTTGTACAAATAGCACAGCTTCCAACATATTGTGCACAGTAAAATTTGTTTTGTGGTAATTCAGTCTTTCCAGTGTCTAATAGTTCTCGGAAAAGCTGGCAAGTGAGTTTTGACTGTTTTAAGAAAACATTGCATTTTAAATCAAACTTACTTTAAAAATTGTAACTAGAATAAGCATCTCAGAATAATGTTTAACTGGAAATGTATTAATCCAAAGTAGTCTTGCCTTACTTCCCAATGTTGAAGGGGGCAGTAAATGGCCTTGAAAGGTGTTCGGACTGTAGGCAATCTAACTGGCATTAAGGAGTCTTGCAATTATGTGCCGTCCCTAACTCGGAGCTTGTGGCAATGCTGTAGTTTAAGCCCACAGTGATATCTTCTACAGGGCTTTGCTAATAAGATGAAATAATACATTTCCCCCTATGTTACTAAAAAAATACAATCATCATAGCTACTTAAGATTAAATGAGCTAAATAACAACAGACGCTACTCACTTTCAGTGCATAATCAATACTTTTAACAGTATTTTAAAAGTATCTAGTAGGTACTCTAGATAATTTCTCTGACACTGTGATGTCATAAAGCAGTCTCTATTGCTAATATCAGGTAGCATAAGAAAGGCATGGCAACTGTATGTGGCTCACACATTTTCAGATGACAATCTAGCCAGTCACTTCTTAGGAAGGATAAATGGTGATGGGAGTAACTGTACATGATTCGCTCCAGTATCCTAGTGCCACTTCCAGTCAAAGCAAGGGATGTCAACATGTAGCTGACTAAACAATTGATAAGCCTGGTCTCATCGGTTAATCCTGTTGACTACAAACACTCCCCACCCATCTTGCTGCCTCTGTCTGCAGGGAGCTAGGGTCCACCGCAAAGAGGGGCTGCTGCTGTATCAGAGGCAGCAGCGTGAGGTGGCAGAGGGTCCCTGGGAGTGGGGCTAGGAGCACAGTGGCTACTGATCTCAGCCTCAGGGACTATCGAATAGTCGTGCAACTTCTAAAATTTGTTGCAGTTACACAATTATTCAATTAACATCTAACATCCCTAGTCAAAGCACAAACTGGATTTCCCAACCTCTGGGTCAGGTCCCAAATATGGGTCACGATTACATTTCAAAAGGGTCGCCAGGTGTCTCCCCAGGTGGTTCTTAAGGAGCCATTCACACATTTTTTTTTAATTGCCCTGGGTCACCAAGTCTTCCTGAATTGTCAAAATGGCTCCCCATCTGGAAAAGGTTGGGAACCGCTGGATTAGAAGCATAAAACTGCCAAACTGAGGAGAGGAAGAAGAGCAGAAGCTGAGGCCAGGGCTATAATACAAAAGACCCTGTGGTTGCTTCATGTAGTTCTGCACATGGCAGAAGTTTTCTGGGTTTGTTTTGGTAGTGTGTTGGTAGGATTTTACCGTTGCAAGTATGGGAGGATGACCTCAGGAGACTTGTGAGCCTGTAAGAACTTTCTGGTGCCACTCCAGCTGATGACTGATAGACTTGTGCTTCTTAGAGCTGCTAATCGTGGAACTCACAGGAGGAAAGGCAATTCTTGACTCAGTTGCAAGTGGAACACAGGATGTGGTGCAGGAGGTGAATATAGCTGGACTGCTTGGTAATAGTGATCATCATATAATTAAATGTAACATCCCTGTGCTGGGGAAAGACCACAGCCTTCCAACATTTCAGTTCAGAAAGAAGGATTACACAAAAGTGAGGAATTTCGTTAAGCAGAGATTTCAGAGTACAGTGCCAAAAGTGAAATCTTTGCAAGCTTTCTGGAAAATTGTTAAATGTGTACTCCAATTTTTTTTAAAAAGTAGTAAGAGTATGAAAAAAGTGCCACCATGGCTAAACAAAGTAAAAGAAGCCATGAGAAACAAAAAGGAATCCCTTAAAATGTGGAAGGTAAAATCTAGTGAGGTAAATAGGAGCATAAACTCTGTCAAATGAAGTGTAAAAATATACCTAGAAAGGCCAAAAAGGAATTTGAAGAATAGCTAGCCAAAGAATCAAAAATAGCAAATAATAATCATAATTAATAAGAACATCAGGAGCAGGAAGCCTGCAAAGGAACTAGAGGAGCCAATGGACAATCAAGATGCTAAAGGAGCACTCAAGGACGATAAGGTCATTGCAGAGAAACTAAATGAATTATTTCCATCAGTTTCCAGAGCTAAGGATGAGGGAGATTCCCAAACCTGAGCCATTCTTTTTAGTGAGAAATCTGAGAAACTATCAGAGGGAGGTGTCATTAGAGGAGATTTTGGAACAAACTGATAAACAATAGTAAGTCACCAGGACCAGATGGCATTCACCCAAGAATTCTGAAGGAACTCAAATGTGAAATTGCAGAACTGTGTTTTATAACCTATCATTTAAATCTGCACCAAATGGCAGATAGCTAATGGGGGATAGCTAATATGATGCCAGTTTTTTAAAAGGGCTCTAGAGGTGATCCTTACCAGCTGGAAAGTAACTTCAGTACCAGATAGACTGGTTGAAACTATAGTAAAGAACAGAATTGTCATATAGATGAACATAATTTGTTGGGGAAGAGTCAGCATGGTTTTTGTAAATGGAAACAATGCCTCATCAATCTACAAGAATTTTCTGAGGGAGTCAACAAGCATGTGGACAAGGGGGAATCCAGTGGATATGATATACTTAGATTTTGAAAAAACCTTTGACAAAGCCCCTCGCTAAAGACTCTTAAGCAAAGCAAGCTATTGTGGGATAAGAGGGAAGGTTCTCTTATGGATTGGTAACTAATTAAAATATAGGAAACAAAGAATAGGAATAATTAGTCAGTTTTCATAGCAGAGAAAGATAAATAGTGATGTCCCCAGAGGTTTGTACTGGAACCAGTCCTATTCAACATATTCATAAAGGATCTGGGAAAGGGGTGAACAGTGAGGTGGCAAAATTTTCAGATGATACAGACTAACTGAAGATAGTTAAGTCCTAGGTAGACTACAACTTGCTTCAAAAGAATCTCACAAAACTGGTTGGACAGTAAAATGGCAGATGAAATTCAGTGCTGATAAATGCATTTATCATAATCCCAACTATATGTATAAAATGAAGGAGTCTAAAGAGATCTTAGAGTCATTGTGAATAAATCCCTGAAAACATCCACTCGATGTGCAGCAAGAGTCAAAAAGAAGCGATCAGAATGTTGGGAATCATTAAAAAAGAGATAGATAATAAGACAGAAAATGTATTGCCTCTGAATAAATCCATGGTATATCCACATCTTGAATATTGCATCCAGATGTGTTCGTCTCATCTCAAATAAGATATATTGGAATTGGAAAAGGTTCTGCAAACGGCAATAAAAATGATTTGGGGTATAGAATGACTGTTATAAGAGGAGAGATTAATAAGACTGGCATTTTTTAACCTGGAAAAAAGACAGTTAAAGAGGGATATGATAGAGGCCTATAAAATCATGAATGATGTGGAGAAAGTAATTAAGAAAGTTATTTACTCCTTCTCATAATACAGGAATTTGTGATCACCGAATGAAAATAATAGTCAGCAGATTTAAAACAAACAAAATGAAGTGTTTTTCACACAACACACAGTCAATCTGCGGAACTCCTTGCCAGTAATATTCCCTGTAAACGGCACTTGGGCAGTCACTCAGGAGAGATTCAGGTTCTGCTAAGCAATTTAGCAAAGCATGCACAGCCAGCAGTCGCCGGCAGCATGTATTTCTACTGGTGGTGTGCATCTGCACATGCCTTGGTGCACATAAACAAAATTTATGCTGCACACGGGGGAAAAATAAAGAGAACATTGCTTGCCAGAAGATATTGCGAAGATCAAGATTTTACCAAGATTCAGAAAGGAACTAGATAACTTTATGGAAGATGGAATCATAGGTCTGGAATGGACCTTGAGAGATCATCTAGCTCAGTCCCCTGCATTCATGGCAGGACTAAGTATTATGTAGACTATTCCTGACAGGTGTTTGTCCATCAATGTCTATTAGCCAGGATCAGCAGGGATGGTGTCTCTAGTCTCTTTGCCCAAGGCTGAGGATGGAGGACAGAGAGGGATTACTTGATGATTAGCTGTTTAGTTCATTCCTCAGGGGCACATGGCATTGGCCACTGTTGGAAACAGAATACTGGGCTACATGGACCTTTGGTCGAGACAGACTGATGAATATAGGGACTTTCCACCAAGATGGATAAGGCAGCGGGTATTCCTTTTGTGGCTAAGTGTTTCAACAAGTATGAGGGTGTAGGCCAGTGGTCACCAACCACTAGATTGAGATCTACTGGTCGATCTTAGAGCCTTTGACAGGTGATCATCCCAGGTTTGGCTGGGAGGTTATCAAGTGCTGGCGCTTCATCTGGCCCTCTCTGCACTACCATGCTGCTTCTACCTTGAAGCTTCCTCCCTTCCCCCCGCCCCTTCCCCACTCCTGGGAGCCTCTTGCTTGCTGTGCAGGGCACAGGAAGAAGAGGAGGGGGTGCTGATGTCAGAGTGCCCCTTCCCTCACCCTTTACCCCATCTGCACAGAGTCGGGGAGGGCGGAGGGATGGAGAGAGTTTGCTGGCTGCTTTTGGGAGTGGTGCAGGGACAGAGTAGGGTTAAGCCTGCCTTAGTCCCTTACACCACCACCCAGAAGCCACCAGTGGTATGCAGTTCCCTGCTGGAGCCCGCATTCTGAACCCCAGGCCCAGTCCTGAACCCCTCCTGCACCCCAAACCCTGCCCTAGCCTTGAGACCCCCTGCACCCAAACTCCATCCCGCACCCTGACCCCCCTCCTGGACGTCAACTCCCTGCCCCAGGACTCAGAAACCCTCCCACACTCCAAATCCTGTAGGACAGCCTTTCTCCTGGCTTACTATTGCTACTCCAACTTGTATTGTGTTGAGTAACTGAGCTTGTTTACATAGAACTGACTGGAGGATGACAGTCCCATTTCACGCCAATGTTCAAGATTTCTAATTTTGTTTTCGATCCACAAAAACTGGAATAAACATGAAACTTGTTCACTTACTGCCTGTGTGAGGCACTCTACAGCTTGAAGGACACAGTATTGTCCTGCTGTGTAGTGGGCCCAGTGGCTCTACCTGATTCAAAGGACAGGTTGTTGGGTTTTTTTAAATCGCAGGTCACTCTGAATCAAGCAGTACATGGTCTTGAACCTGGCTCTCCTACATCGCTACCCTAATCTGCTAAACACAGTCTCTTTGTTTTATGTGCCTAGGCCCAAAACTCTTTCCAACACATCTCCACAAGACATGCCAACTTCAACAAAACAGCAGAGTTATATTTCAGAGGTTTCTCCTTGCAGGACACTATTTAAGTGTTTCCACTGGTCTCATTAGCAAAATCTATTTGCCCATTCTCAGCACTCTTGAAAGGAGTGTTTGGAGAAAAAAATTATTTCTTAAACGCGGTATTCTAATCATTTTTGTTTGGGTGGCCTTTGCTGGCAAGCCATGCTATTTCA